CGATATCAACTAGAATTGTCGATTGATATGATATAACAACAGGAAATAAGTAACCTATACATATTATTCCACTTTTTACCTGGCAAACTAGACAAGAAAGTATGAATTATCTTGTCCCTATAAGTCTGACAGCCCAGAGGCAGAACAACAAAAGTCATACTAATTTCAGCTTAGGTGCTTTGCAAAAAGTAATGATTCTGAATGCTAAGAAAAGGAGCAAAGATATCTGTTTTGAGAAGTTTTCGAGAAGTAGTCAATGGAAAGCAAAGATGTCATAAGACGCTTTTAAACGATCTTCTTTCATATCCCTTTTCTCTGCTTTTCATGCATACTTCTTTTTGAGGAGCTAGAAACAAATTTAATGCAAAAGTGACTATGCTTAAGAATATTCACATTCAACATGTTGAGACGCCATCAATTCGACAGTTTGCGAGGAATACAGATTTTATGTGTCCTTATAAATTTTCCTTTTTTTGTTGATTTAGGAGTGCGTAGTTATCAGCGTTCTTAACGACATTTCGATATAATGGAAGTAGGAGTAGGAATGTCCGCGAAAATTTGGGAAAGAAATTAATTTTGGAAGATGTTCAAATTTTGTGAGCTTGTAGTATTCAAATAAAGACATAGTTCAACATGTTCAGAAGCCATCAATTCGTCAGAAATTCACGTCAGATAATTTTTTGTAGGTTTACTTTGGCTATAGGTTTGCAACAACCCGAAGCTACTGTTGTGAAACCTATAGCCAAAATTTACTGACGTGATGCGCTATGTCTGTGATCCTAAGATACTAATCTTGGTAACTTTCGTAAACTTCCAACAGATCGTGCAGTATCAAAAGCGAAGTTATGAGGATTTCAAGAACTTGCGGGATTTTCTCGGCACTTTCATTTGCCTTAAGAAAGCTAAGAATTAGCACATATTGTCACCATAAAGGCATAATTTGAAACTGCAAATTGCAGTTTGTAGAGCTATTTACATTTTTTTCTTCAGCCTATTAAATTTTTAGATATAATAGATTTTTAAAGAATGTACAGTATTTTAAGGTAACGCATATCACCTTCAATCAATCCTCCAACGTGATTGCTCAGTCATCGGAGGATAAAGAAGTAAAGTGAGCTGTAAACGAAGACTTCCAAAATTTGAATTCATGCTCGCAATTAAGACTTTGGGATCCCCGGAATTTGGAGATGGTGGCTCAGTTACCTCGAAAGAATCATATTCAAATGCACTGCGAATTTATCGACGACAAACTTCTCGCCTCAACCAGCAACGGATTCAACGGTTACGGATGCGAGATATCGGTGAGAAGAAAATTGCAAGTGTAGCAATCACTTAAATCATTAAATTGCTGAAGTCTTGAAAAATGTCTACACTCCCACCACACTTTTGAGATCTTTTCCTATCGGGTAAAATTTGGCTTTTCTCTTTACTTTCCATTTGCTTCAGATCTGGGACCTACGTACCCGAAAGCTGTTAAGAGAACTTAAAGGCCATGAAGGTTCTGTGCCCTGCATCGCCAATATCACACAGCAAGTTACGTTAAAGAAGCTAATGATGAGCGTCTCAATGGACAAATCGATACGGATATGGAACATAGAAGATGGAGGTAAAAGTGACTCACCTACAGTATTCATGCAGTGGGAAAAAATTACGACATGTCGAATCGAGACTGAATCCATTTATCTAAATTTGATGAAACCGAAATGATTCTCTAAGATTTTATCTTTTTCCTATTTGAAGGTTAGACAAATTGCATCTCTTTTTTCTAAAACTTTCTAATGTTGTGAAATAAGCAAAACATCAATAGAGCAGGAAATTCAAGGCTACATCACAAAAAAAAAACTTTAGAATGGCAAATAGAATTGGTTGTAAACGATGTAGAAAGAGTATTTCAATCCTCAAACAATGACCGTCAGTATTGCATATATATAGTTGTGCGATGAGAGAAATACATTAAAATGCGCACGAAATTTGAATTATTTATATTTTTGGAATCATTTTTTAGAAATTGGTTGGAAAACCACTACGTGATTGCTCCACTAGCAGTATATTACAGCCTTCGCGGCTGATACTAAGTAGTCTTCGATTAAAAAACTCTAAATGGTGCAATTTCACTTTAACGACCCTAAACCTCAAAACATCGCCGAGATATCGTGGGAGAGATAAGCTTGACATGCTATGTAGTCGCGAAATATTCAGTACAGCAAGGTCTGTCTTTAGGATTGCTTTAAAAGATATGGGTCCAGATTAGCAAAATTGCCTGAAAATTGCTTCGATATCCAGAAATTCTGTAATTTTAACATCTAAATTTGTCTTGACCATGAAGCGAGGTGGGAAATGTCAGATGTTTTGTGATTAGAGTATAAATTATTCCATTTGAGCGAAATTCAAACGAAATTCACAATGATAAGATTTTGGGTTTTGCAATATGGAATACTCATAGCATAGCATAATATTCCTCTCGGAATCAACCATACAAACTGTGCAGCAAGCAAGCAGACGCGCAACACACTTCAAAATAATAATAGAATCTACCATGACTTCAAATTAGCGAAATTTGAATCCAGGTCATTGCAAAAAAAGAAACTTTCGCTCACCTTCATTTAGCCGAAAGTGTATTGAGATATCATTTTACTCTAATCACTCCAAATCTCTACCACATCTCTACCATTTTCAGTAGACGAAAGACAAAATTTACTCTCTGTAGTGCTGCGCGTCTTTTGCTACACGGGCCTTTGAGTTCTCACATACATTACAACTATTGTGTGTATTTAGTTTGCGTTTGGGAAGAAACAGTCGCCAGCGATTCAGATCTCTTGCAGTGTGTTTCATTCAACGATGGACAGTATGTATACATTATCAGAATAGCAGTATTTCTCGCAAAAGTTTTCGTTTTTCAGTGTTGTTGTGTCAGGAGGAAAAGGTCTACTCGCTCATATACGTGTACAAGGACGAGCAGGGAAGCCGTATTTACAAATGCTTTCCGTGCAAAAGATGATTTCGTAGACATTTTATGCATGATATTTTATAGGCAATTGGGTGACTTGGTGAATTTGCTCAGGTATGATTAAGCTGACTATTAAGAGGATTCTTTAAGAGTTTTGTAATATTGTTGTTAGAAAAAGGGGGTCTGAAACTTTCTCAACCGTACTAACTCTTGCCACATATCAAAATTAAGAGCTCTGTTTGTTGGATGATCTCAAGCGATTGAATGGATCTCTGTTTTCGTGGTTTGTAGCAAAGAGAAGACATTTGCAGTCTTGTAAGGTCTAAACTTTATTTATTGGCAATTAATAAACATTGATTAATAAAAAGTGAAGGAACACAATATACAAAATAACACCTTCAACTATTGAAAATCAAAAACAAAAACAAAACGAATGACTTCTAGAAGACTAAGAGGAGTTTCAAAAAACGAATAATGACCAGTGTAGGCACAAAATCTCCCTCTAATAGGGCTTTGGCTATCCTTTTTTGGCTATTTAGTTACTTCTAAGAGAATAAGAGAATCATCAGCGGCAGTGTTTGATTTTTAGTTTTCATGGCACCCAAGCTACATGATCAAGCACCCTTTACGTTTTGCACCTTTCCCCTCAGGATCCTCCATGGTCAACGCCAATGTACGCTTCTTTTCGAGTGCTAACAGTTGTTGGAATAGCTCTGTGATGTTGTCATTGTTCTTTGCGCTCGTCTCAATAAAGCCTGTACCCCATTTAGATGCCAATTTTGATCCCGTTTCTGTAGCGACCTCTCGTCTCTGAAATTCATAATTCGCTAAACAAATTTAGAAGGAACGTAGCCATTGTTACTTTTACTTCAGTTTTATATAGCAGCATACAGCTAATCCTTACTAATGAAGCAGGTGCTTTCAAAATGACGATTATGTCTTGTTTTTGAGTTAGCCTTTTTTCGTAGCCTTCACGTCATTAATAAGAGTTATACTGCTTTCATGCGAACACTTTGTGCTATATTTATATATGTACGAAAAACTACTTTGATATATACACTTGATGTAAACTACAGTAATTGCTATCAAATCTAGATTTTAAGAAAGATTGGAATCGTTTTGAACGTATTAGGATATTGGTAGAAATTAGGAAAAGTAAGTGATCAAAATTTAGAATTATCATAATTTTCCCTTTTTCAAGCTCTTTTGCTTATAGCTTCTTAGACAAAATTTTTCTGCATTCTTAGTCATAAAGTCATAAAGTGTGCTATACTTTCGTGCAATTCCGCAATTTTTCAAAATAGTTTATAGGGAGTCAAACTCAATACAGATTCAACCACAGCCACATAGAAAGGAATTTATGTCAATTTACGCGATTTCTGACTGTCAGTAGTCGAATTAGCATTATAAATCCCTTATAATTGTAGAAATTTCATCAAATTTAAAGTTATAAAGAGAGAAAACTGACTAAAATTACGAAAGTACAAGAGAGAAATCCATGCGAATAGGTCTTTAGAGATCGATTTTGCTTTAACGAAATTCATCAAAAACACTCTCATTGACCATACAATAAATAAGCTAAAATTGATATTTTTTCTTGTTTGTATTAAAAAACCAAAGATGGTGTGTACATCTTTTTTTGCCATATTATGGCACGCATGTTTAATGAAAAATAGAAGAAAATACGTCGTTTATCGCCTTCCCATAAAGGGAGAGAAAGATAGGCTTTTAATATTCGTGATCTTTTTTTTGAAGTATCTGAGCTGCCTTAAGTTCTTTATTATTAGGAACGTACCGATGCATCGTCAGTCTTGTTGCCTACCAACATAATCGGGGTTTCGGACAAACTG